CTATCTATTTTGTCTTAGAGTAGAGTTGCTATTTTTCTGCTAGAAGAGTAAGTTCTTCTTGCAGTTTGGAGTTAAGGTTGTCTGCTTGAGTAGAAAGGTATATATTTGTAGAGTTTTCAGTAAGTTTTTTGTTTATCTGAGTAATTTGTTTGTTAAGTATCAATATTTTGTTTTCTGAAGGTTTTGGTTTTTTGAAAACCTTAATAATCGATTAGATGTATATTTTGTATAAGTCTCAATTATTTGTGTTTTCATTTTCTTGTATTTTTTCTATTATTTCTTTTTTTAGTCTCTCATTATGAAAGCAGTTTTTATCAAACTTCTACAAAGGTGACTTGTTTGTATTTGATGTAAACTTTAGCATGTATTCTACTAAAAAGTGATCAGAGTTGCTATATTTGGTATTAGTTTCATGAATCGAGTGAGCTTAGTTTTTATCTATAAAGATATAGTCTAAGTGAGTTGCTATCATTCTTTTTCCTCTTGTTTTTTGAAAAAAAGTATAGAATAGTTTGTTAGTTGCAAGCTCTGAAGAGTCAATAAAGTTTTTTGTAAGGTCTTTAAGTTAAGCTCTTGTTGGATCATTCTGTAGTGAGGACTCACTAATTCTATCTTGTTCAGAATATATATTAGTATTAAAGTCTCTTGTGATGATATTTATCATATTGTTTTTTACTTGAGGAGACTAGTTGTTAAAAAAAATTGATCGTTTACTTTGACTAGGAGGTGTATAGATGTTTGTGAGCTGAAAGGTTAAGTCTTTATAACTAAAATTTGTAGTTATAATTCTGCTATTTGCTTCTATTTTGGAACTCTGAAAAGTTATATTTTTGTTATCTGCTAATATAGCTGTTTTGTTTGACTATAATAAATCGAAAGCCCATTGTTGTTGTAAAAATATTTGTGTATCTTTGTTGTTAAGGTTCGTTTCTTGAAGTATTATAATATCAAGATTATAAAACTTAAGAAGAGTAAGAGTATTTCTTTGTTTCTGTTGATTGTTTAGTCCTTTGACATTTAGGATACTAATTTTTATCTTTGATTTTTTAAACATAAGAGTTGAGTTAAGGTAAGAATTTTAGATCTGCATATTTTAGCTCTTATTACAAGTTTTTTTCTTGTAAGGAGCAGTTCTAGTCTCTTCTTAATTTTGCGTAGATACTTTCTTTTTGTCTTTTTTCTTTTGTTTGTAGCGATTATGTATTCTTCTTCTGAATGGTCAAGTTCTTGCAGTTCATGATTATTGTTATTAATAATAACCATAGGAGAATTTACCTCTTATGCTATTTTCTTGTCAGAAGTAGTAGCAGTTGTCAAGATAATTTCCTGAGTTTTTGAGTCTTTCTCTATATTTATATCTTCTGTAGTTATAGTTATACCCTCTGTTCTTTTAGATACACTAGTTTGAGTATTTTTACTTTTACTAGTTCTAGATATATCCTGTTGCTTTTTAGTAGAAGAGTTTCAAGGATATTCGTCTATACATATTTTTTTTTTTGTGTTATTAAGGCCACTTCCTTGGCTGATTAGATTTTATTAGTTTGTTATTACAGAACTATCACATAAACAGTTTCCTAAGGCTTACAGTTACATAATGAGTATACAACAAGCTACATGTACAACTTTAGTCATTGTCTAATTTAAGTAGTTCACCATATAGACGATCAACCATCTGTTGGTTCTACATTATGCTGCTATACCTGCAACCTGCCTGTGAGTTACTTATTTAAACACTCTAATCATTAACCTTGTCCCCTATCCCAAACTAATGTCACCACTATGACCAACTACTTAAGCTAGCCAGTTCATCCATAGATCTATTCTCTGAATAGCTTAAATCCTTTCAGAATGCGTATGTTCAACGTATTGTGAGCTACAAAGTTCTAGTTAACCTCAGAAGTAATTCCTACCAAAGTGGTTATATGCTTATTTCACAGATTCATCTGAATTAGACCCTTGTCGATGTTCATACGAACTCAGTTCCTGCTGTAGCCGTCCATCAGATATAGTCCTCCAAGTTCTAGCCAGATGTTTTACAAGGTAGATCCTTCTAATCTAGTTAGCCACCAAGCCAAGTTAGTGTTGCTGCTAATGCAAGGCACTAGGCTGCATTACATAGCGGACTTACTCGCATCTATCGATCTCATATCCTTCATACTCAGGTTTTTCACTGGATCAAGTATTAACTAGCTTGACTGTTGAAATCTGTACTACTTCGCCAAACTCAGGATTTCTACTATGCAAGTTTCCTGCCTGTAAATTCTATTAAGATTTATTTATACAATGTAACTCAAATATTGCATCACACTTCCAATATCTAATTGACATTAGTACAATGTGATTTATAAGGTTGTAACCCTCAGAAACGAGCAGAGTTTATCATAAGTTAG